CAGCTGCATGGCCACTTCAGTACTCTTCCCTTCATAAACACCCAGGAGAGAAGCCTTGCTCTGCAACTGCACCAGCAGCTCTCCCCGGGGCGTGAAGGAAGCGCCACTCTCAGAGTGACCTGAGAACTGGGGAGCCTGAATGTGGTGTCCATATACATGAGGGCAAAATGCTCATACAGATACAATTTAAAAATCTTAAAAAAAAAAAAAGGGGGGGTCTATAAATGTAATGCAATTTCTAAAAAAAAAAAAATTATTGCTGACTCCTGAAATAGAAAAAAAAAAAACTCTAAAATGTATACAGATTGGCACACACAGAGGGAAAAAAAAAGACACACACACACACACCAAGCAAAAACAGGGTATCCAAAACCAATAGTGAGCCGAAGCAACAACAAAAAGGTCGGTTACTCAACTGTCATAGCAACCGAAGTAGCAGCCTGGGGATGTGGCCCAGCTGGGTGAAACCAGCTGCCTGGCATGCAGGAAGCCCTGGGTTCAGTCCTACCATAGAAACAGCTCCTCTCTAGGAATGCTGGCCAGGAAGTCCCCAGAAGTCTGACACCACACGCCCCAGTTTCATGATACAGAGAAACCACGCTCCAATTTAGCTAGAAACTTCCTTTCCTAATGTTATAAGTTGCTCGGCAGGCAGTGGGACTGCTGTGTGTTGAATGAAATGTCCCTCTGTAGTTCAGGCATTTGAATACTAGGGATTCCAGTTGATGGCCGGACTTGCTGGAGGAAATCTGCCATTGGAGGCAAGCTTTGATGTGTTATTTTATTATTGTTGTTGGTTGGTTGGTTGGTTGTTGCTTGAGACAGGGTTTCTATGTGTAACAGTCCTGGCTGTCCTGGAACTTGCTCTGTAGACCAGGCTGGCTTCGAACTCACAGCGATCCTCCTGCCTCTGACACTGGAGTGCTGGATCGAAGATGTGTGCCCCCGCCACCTGGCTTGGCTTTGATGTTTGAAAACCTCCAGCCATTTCTAGCTAGCTCTCTCTTTTTCCTGCTTGTGGTTTGAGATGTGAGTTTTCAGCTTTTTATGCTGCCATGCTGGGTGCTTGCCACAACATTTCCCACTGTCATGGTGATGGGCTTGTATCCCTCGGGTACTACAAACCCCACATAAACCCTTCCTTCTGTAAGTTGCCTTGATCCTGGTGTTTTATCATAGTAACCAAAACAAGGAGAAAAGTCAGCAGCGGCTTTCCCCAGCTTCAGACCTTGCACGCTACAGTATCAGCTCAGCAAGCTCCCTGTCTGGGGCGTAACCAACTGACTTCGGATTAGATCTGATGCATGCTCTGGAGGAGTAAGATCATGCCAGTTCAGTGGACCTAACCAAAAGCCGATGGGTGGGGAGGTCACAGGACCTAAGGAAACCTACTACTTTGTTAAACAGACAGGTCCTAAGTGCCTGACAAATGTACGTTTGCATTCATAGATGAGTGCTGTCCTCAGCCTTGATCAAAGCAGCTTCTCTTTGCGGCAAATGATGGTTAATGAGAGACACACTGTCACGGAGCTGAGCACTAAATGGACCTGGTATCCCCCCTCCGAGGATCCTGACATAGCGTAGAAGAAGGGGCGGAAAGAACGTAAGAGCCTGAAAGGTAGAGGAGAGCGCCACACACGGTTGGAGCCCTCGTGAACTCACGCTAGCTGCAGTTACCCAAAGAGAGTCTGAACAAGTCTGAGCGAGTTAACATCCAATTATAGGCGGGGGAGGGGCTTGGGTGGCCCACCCAGTCCAGCGGAGCTCATGGCCGTGGGAAGAGAGGAAGTCACTGTCTTCAGTGATGGAGCCACTGGTGAGCTACCTACGCTCAGTGGACAGCATTTCATCCGTGCCCACAGGACAGGCCCTGGTTAAACCTAGTGGGTCTGGGTCACAAAACAAGAAAGACATGGAAGTAGGATGAGGACCTGGTGGCAGAGGGTGTGGGGTGGGGACTGGGGGTGGGGAGAGAGTTAAAGAGGGTAGGTGTCACCGGAATATTATATTCATCCATGAAGCTGTCAAAGAACTAGCCCAGGAGCTAACAGAAAACTGAGTGTGGTGGTGTGTGTCTAATCCCAGCTCTCGGGCTGTGAGGAAAAGAGAATCAGGAATCCCAGGTCATCTTCAGATACATAGCAACTTCTAGGCCAGCCTAAGCTATGAGAGACCTTGCCTCAAAAAAAAAAAAAAGCAAGGAACCAGCATAAAAATAGGTACATAGACAGAGAACCACACACAAAGTTAACACACACGGTTCAGACACCCACAAGATTCCTTCTTTGGGGCTTTGTTCTGGTTAGCACACGACGGGGCAGCAGGCTGAGCAGTCATAAAAATACTGCTTTCAGGCCATCAGCATGACATCTGGCAGAGGCGCCAAGAACATCCAGCAGAAAAGACAGTCCCATCCATAAACACCGTTGGCAAAATTGGGTAAACATATGCGCAAGAATAAAGCTGTTCCATACCCTCTAAACAGATACAGAAATCAACTCAGAATGACTCAAAAGCCTGAATAGCGCCCAAGGTGGGGCTCGGTTGGTACAGTGCTCGCCTAGCGTGCATGAAGCCCGGGATTGATCCCTGGCAACGGATAGACTGGTTGTGGTGGTGGCACACCCATGACCCTAACACTTGGAAGGCAGAGGTACAACAACTACAAAGTGAGTTTCAGGCCAGTCTGGGACACAGGAGTTCCCGTGAAGAAAGAAAAAGACGGAGAAGGAGGGGCAAGCTGGAATGTAACACCCGAGACACTGAGCCACAGGATAACATGAGAGAAACACTCCAAGGCATTGGTGTAAACCAGCAATTCTGGACCTGTGGATCATGACCTCTTTGGAGGTCGAATGACCCTTTCACAGGGATTGCATATCAGATATCCTAAAGATTAGATATATTTACCTTCAATTCATGACAGTAGTGAAATTACAGTTATGAGGTAGCAACAAAAACAATCTTAAGGTTAGGGGTCACCACAACATGAGGAACTGTATTAAAAAGTTGCAGCATTAGGAAGGTGGAGAACCACTGCTCTAGACAATGATTTCTAAGAATTCCTCCCAAGGTCTCAGGCAAGTAAAAACAGAATAAGCATCTATCAAACTACAGAGGCAAGACACGGCCTGTGGAGCCTTGAAAACAGGCTTGTAAACCATTCATCCGCTAAGGGCTTACATTTTGAGAAGATAGGATGATCACACAGAGTTGAACACTAAAACCTAATTAATGCAGATTTTAAAACGGGCCAAGGAACTCCACAGACGCTTCTCCAGAGAAGACAGGTGTGTGCCATGCTGAGGCCATGTCTGCACAGCACAAACAAAACAGAGATTTGATTTCCAGTACGGTGGGGTGATGATGAAAGGGGCTGGGACACACGGAAATGTGCTAGAGACTGGAGCGTCTGAAGCCCACCACTGCGGGCACGCGCAGGGAGCCGGGGGATTTCTTTCTTTTCTTTTTCTTTTTGCAACAGGGTTTCTGGCCGTCCTGGAACTCACACTGTAGCCCAGGCTGGCCTTGAACTCACAGAGATCTACCAGCCTGTGCCTCCCGAGTGCTGGGATTAAAGGCGTTCAACACTACCGGGGGGTGGGGGGGGATTTCTAATCGGAAGACACCCTGGGCTACATAGTTATTTCCAGGCTAATCTGTGATTCATCCTGAGATGTCTCAAAAGACAAACATTCTATCCAACAAAAACCTCAAATAGCCAACAAATGTATGAAACAGTGCCCAATCACAGTGGTTATTGAGACATTAGAAATCAAATCAGGGATCAAAACCAACTGCTGATGTGATGTGAGGGGAATTCGCACACGTTGTTGAGGTGGTTTTGACCAGCACCGCCATTACAGAAAACACCATGAAGAGTTCTCACAGAACACAAGAGACTGTAGGATCTGTATGACCTAACAGCTCCACAGTTGGCTATGTCTCTAAAGAAGATGAATAATTATACCAGAGACACACCTGCTCTTCCATGACCTGCAGCTGTGTTCCTGACAGCTCGGCTAGGCGGCCAGCCTGCTCCTTTACTACGAGGTGGAGGGAACCGGTGGTCACGCCGCCGCCGAGTGAAATAAATCAGGCGGCTAGAGGAACACTGTGTGTGCTAATCTCTGTGGAAAATGAACAGGAGGATCTTGCTGAAGAGCCCCAGAGACGGGGCCCGGGAAAGGGAGTGGAAGACAGCTCAGTAAGATTCACAAACAGAGAATGGCTTCTAGGGTACAGTGGGTAAACTCTGTTAAAACAATGTACCACCCTTCAAAGTCAATCAAAAAGCGTGAGATCCCCAACATACAACGGTAATTAATACTTGAAGAGCTGGAGATACTTCCCACATTAATTATTGTATATTGTTTACAAATATATCTTGTGAAAACTTAATTTGTCTGTCTGTGTGCACACCTGCATGAGCTCATGTGACCCTTGTGCTTAGAAGCTAGAAAAAAAGTCTCAGACATGTAATCCCACCAAATGTCAGGACCAGGAGGAAGATTAAGAGTTTCAGGCTAGCCTGAGCTACACAGCAAAACACTGCCCCATAAACAAAGAAACACACACAATCCATACGTAACCCTAAGGGATCAATGTGTCAGGGTGACTATCAAGAGGGTGAGGCCTTAGAGACGCCAGCCACTGTGGACACAAACGCACGTATGGGGAGGGTACCATGCCACCATCCATAGCCTCTGAAAAGCCAAATCTGGAGCTAGGAAGAGTGACTAATGTCTTCCCCATGGGCCGCAACCCTAATCCCATTGGAGCTACAACACACAGCTAAGGGAGCTGGCTCCCTGGCCAGATTAACAGCCTGGCCTCCCCTCTCAGAGTGGGTTAGGACACTCCTGTCTATGGATCGGGGGCTTTAGAGGTTGGAAACAGATACCAGAGTGTGTGTACCTAAGGTATCTCCAGGATCCCTGATCTGGAACATCTGAGCAACTGACAACAGGTAGGGGTGGGAGAGCTGTGGGGGAGGGGTGTTCCGGAGGGCCGAGTGAGCTGTGGGGATGTTATGTCCTCTCGCAGGGTAGTCTCACATTATAGAGTCCACAGTCTGTCACAGCACGTCTCTCCATCTTATCGAAGGACTCAGTGATGGGGCACTGGAGCTGACTCGGAAAGAAATCACCAAGAATGGAAGGTATCTGAGAGGACACGGAGGTCAGAGGCACCAGGAAGAGACCCAGCCAGCAAGCTAAGCTCCCCAGACTGGGAAGTAACCGCCACTTAACCCCCCAGCATAGATGGGGGGTTAATCCCGGGGTCTCAATGTCAGGAAGTGCGGCCGCTGCTGCCGCTGCCCTAACACAGTTGATGCCCCATAGCATCAACTGATTCAAGAAGGCCGTGGCAGACATGGCCACAGTGGTACACTTAGCCTCCTCCTTGTCCTCCAAGTAGACCCTATGTGGCTCTGTATAAGGTTGGGGAAGCACTTCAGTCTGGGGCTCCCCAGATGAAGAGACTGAGGCTGGGGCAGACGCCAGAACATTTGTGTGTCAGGCTGGTGGCCATGTTGCTCTTGGTGGTAATTTTCCTCCCGAGTACATTCTGTGACACGGGATCCGTGTATTACTCTTCCTATGAAACGGTCATCCCCAAGAGGTTGCCAGTCCAGGGGACTGAAGACCCCGGAGGAAGGGCGTCCTACCTGCTGCTGATGCAGGGCCAGCGGCAGCTGCTTCACCTGAAGGTAAAGGGAGACTACTCCGTGAACAACTTCCCAGTCTACAGTTACCACGATGGCATCCTGGGGCAGGAGATGCCGCTCCTCTCACAGGACTGCCACTACGAAGGCTACATGGAAGGGGTGCCGGGCTCCTTTGTTTCCGTCAACATCTGTTCAGGCCTCAGGGGCGTCCTGATGAAGGAGGAGACCTCGTACGGCATCGAGCCTGTGCCCTCCTCCAAAGGCTTTGAACACATCCTGTACACCTTGGCACATCAGCCTCAGGGCTCCTGCAGTGTCACTCCCAAAGACAGCCCCGGGGACAGCAGCCAGCAGCAAGGGAGCAGGAAGCCCGATGACCTGCAGGAGCTGTCTGACGTGTGGTCACACACCAAGTATGTGGAGATGTTTGCTGTGGTCAACCACCAGCGGTTCCAGATGTGGGGCAGCAACGTCAACCTGACGGTCCGGGCAGTAGTGGACATCATTGCTCTGGCCAACAGCTTCACCAGGGCACTAAACACAGAGGTGGTGCTGGTGGGCATGGAAATCTGGACAGAGGGGGACCCGATAGAGGTCCCCGTGGACCTGCAGGCTACACTGAGGAATTTCAACCGCTGGAGACAGGAGAAGCTGGTGGACCGGGCCAGGCACGATGTCGCACACTTGATCGTCGGGCATGACCCAGGACAGAATGAGGGCCAGGCGTTTCTGGACGGTGCCTGTTCAGACATGTTTGCAGCAGCTGTGGAGGCCTTCCATCACGAAGATGTCCTGCTGTTTGCAGCGCTCATGGCCCACGAGCTGGGACACAACCTGGGTATCCAGCACGACCACCCGGCCTGCGGCTGTGACCCTAAGCGCTTCTGTCTCATGCAGGAGAATATCACCAAGGACAGTGGCTTCAGCAACTGCAGCTCTGACGACTTCTACCGCTTCCTCCATGACCACAGAGGGGCCTGCCTGCTTGACCAGCCTTGGCGCCAAAGCCGCAAGCGCAGAGCTTCCCGTTGTGGAAACGGTGTGGTGGAGGAGCCGGAGGAGTGTGACTGTGGCAGGGTCTGTGACAGTAACCGGTGTTGTGATGAAAACTGTAAATTTAAGGGGGGCGCACAGTGTAATAATGAGCCTTGCTGTTCCCGATGTAAATTTAAAAAGATGGGACAGGTTTGTCGTCCTGCTGATGGAGCATGTGACCTGGACGAGTTCTGTAATGGGACCTCTGCAGTATGTCCTGAGGACAGGAAAGTACAAGATGGCTCTGTATGCCACGAATTACACTTTTGTTTTAAGGGTCACTGCCTGGACCCTAGCTCTCAGTGCTCACGTATTTTTGGGTATGGTGCACAGTCTGCCTCAGATGCATGCTACAGCTCTCTGAACAGCAAAGGGGACCGGTTTGGAAACTGCGGCCTTTCTTCTGAGTCTCCAAGAACGTATGTCAAATGTTCAGATCAAAATGCGATGTGCGGGAAACTTATATGTACAGAATTAGGCTTCTTACCACCCATCAAAGACAAACACATACTGATCCAGGTCCCTCATACCGTGGACTGGTGCTGGAGCATGGATGCTTCGGATGATGAGACAGAAGGCGCCGACGAAGGATATGTGAAGGACGCAACTAACTGTGGCACGCACAGAGTTTGTAACAATTTCCTTTGTGAAGACCACTCGCGCATCATGTTCCCCTCCCCCACCTCCTGCAGTGCGGATCTCTCTTGTAATGGACATGGAGTTTGCAATGATTTAGGGAACTGCCATTGTTCATTTGGATTTGCACCCCCTGACTGCAAAAATGAAGGAACCGGAGGCAGTGTGGACAGTGGTCCCATCACTCAACCATCGAATGAAAATCCTACAGGAGATGTGGGTCTAAATCCTAACGAGCTAGGTGAAAAGGATTTGGCACTTAACTTAAAGCTGATAGTTCTGGTTGCCATTTTGATACTCATAATCCTCTTTATAACCATATGCATCATGCTTGCCTACAATAAGTCAGAGCTGCCTTCTGAAGCAGAGCCTTCCGAGTCAGAGAAGGTTCCAGAAGGGACTGAAGAGGAAGAGGAAGAGGAGGAAGAGGAGGAGGGATCAAAAGAGGGAGAAGAGGAGGAGGAATAAGTAGAGAGGAACATAAAGCCAATAACTGAGCCTTCTGCAGCCCTAAGAATGAGAGGCTCAGTACAGCAGAGGCTGTGGGAACTGAGAGCTGGGAGACTCTCGCTAGGACTCCAGGGCCTAAAGATACACTGGAGGGAAGTAGGGGCCTCTGTCCTTACAGTCAGCTGATGAGTGTGTTTACACAGTCAGTATTTCAGTACTTCAGTTTTCAATTTCATTTGAACTTGTCACATATATCTTTGGACATTCATGTTCTTGTATCTTTGGGCTAATTCTTTTGGTCACCAGAAACTGTATTTTAGGACATGCTTCCTTCCACACAGATTGTCTGGCGATCCTGAATTTATCACTATGCCCAGGATTTTCATTCCAAGTAACAACTATCTATTCTGTAAGGGCAATTTCCATGACTTTCATTGTTCTAACTTGACCAAAAGTATATATGGGAGGGGTGAGTCTCTAAGTAAAACTGCTAACATTAGACTCGTCTTTAGGTCCCATGTAATGTATTTGTTGAGTCCGTTCTGTTCTGTAGCTGTGTGGGAAACGTTGTACCTCATAAGGAAGAGGGCCTAACTTTGGATCTTGAGTTAACAAGCCGGCTCTACAGACCTCAGCCTCAGCTCCGGGCGAAGCACGCCTGCTGAACAGTCCTGAGGCTGGAGTTCAGAGCCTCCTACTCACCAGACAGTAGACAAGACAGGTAGCTTGTCTTGCCCATAGCCCGAAGGGGCAAGACACAGGAGGCCCACCGGAGCTTGATGGCTTCTAGCCCAGGGAATGCAAGCTCTGGGTGTAGGGGAAGACCCTGCTTCAAAGGAACAGGCTGAGAGTGATAGAGGAGGATGCTGACCCCCTCGTCTACCCTGTACACACGTGCACAGGCACCCCTGTCTGTACATATATGAGCACTACATAACACACACATATTAAAGAGGAAGAGGAAGCAGCAGCTAGCCCTAAGCCGGTCCCGATGGGAGTGCTTGCCGTATCGTCAGCTTTCAGGAGGCCGCAGCAAAGAGACCGCAAGTTTAAGGCCAGCCTGGGTTACCTAGGGAGGCTTAGTCTAAAAACAAAGCGAAGCTAAACAGTTATTTTGTGCTCTGTTTCTAGAAAGTATGACCTTTCTCATTTGTCATCTTGACCTCGTGCTTGTGGCATTACGAGGAAGATGTCCAGTAATCCACATGTTGGTACCCCCATAGGACCACATTTTCCAGCAGTCTGGTGATGTCTTCCTGCCCTCGCCCGGCCTTCTCGGGGCTGCCTCAGGCCAGCCAAACTCCAGCACATTCCTCAGTTTCCTAAGCCAATTCCAGACTCTAGATTTGTCTTCAGACTTGGAGGGAACAAGGGGGAAGTTGCAGTGTGAAATAGATGCGCAGATACTGATGCCCTGGAGTCCACGGTCATGCTTCTCCTTGGGGGACCAGGAGCAGATGTGTCTCTCTCCTTGGGCCTGACCTCACATCTGTTCTCATCCTACTGAGTCAAACTGACTCCCTTGTCTGGAGCTCAATTGAAGAAAAATAAAACAAGATAACCCCCAATTGATACAATTCTATACTCAAGAAATACAAAGTGTTGCTTTTGTTTGCTTTTGATATAGTGTCTCACATATGTGGCCCAGGGACTGGCTTCCAACTATGTAGCCCAGGCTGGCCACAATCTCATGGTAATCTTTCTGCCTCAGCCTCTGGAGTCCTGAGATTACAGGTGTAAACTATCACATGCAGATCAAAGTGTTACCTTGCCAGGCAGTGGTGGCGCACGCCTTTAATCCCAGCACTGGGGAGGCAGAGCCACGTGGATCTCTGTGAGTTCAAGGTCAGCCTGGGCTACAGAGTGAGTTCCAGCAGAGGCGCAAAGCTACACAGAGAAACCCCATCTCGAAAAACAAAAAAAAAAAAAAAAAAAAAAAAACAAAAAGTGTTACCTTTATTTGAAAAAGAAAATTGTTTATTGTTTCTCCAAATTTCTTCTGAAATGGAATTTTGTTGTTAGGGTTGAGTGGGAAACGACTCAGTTAAGTGGTTTTTTTCCCGAGGGGAAAACAAGCTCTTCTATCAATAGAAGAAAAGTAAGAACAAGTTTTCACGATGCTTTGAGACCCAGCTTTCCAAATTCCCCATGTCTTATTAATCAGGCCTCCCTAGTGTGTGGGAAGAGGATTCTTCCACTTCCCTATTCCATAAGCACACACCCTACAGCATCTAGTGTGTTATTATAGAAGACGTCACCACTTCTAGAGGGGAGACACTCCAACACTGGCCTTGACCCTACCTACGAGGTAGATTCTGGGTCTTTGAAGCTTATGGACATAATGGAATAATGAACTGTAATTATAGGTGTTTCAAAGGCTTACTCATTTGTTTAATCAGACTTACAGGCAAAACTTGTCTTTACAAATCTGTTTTTGTGATTTCACTCCTATGAAGGCAAATCACAAAATTTCACTTTCCTAGAATAGTGCAGACAGGATTTACACACTTGACTCATACTCCAGCTGAACTGTTTTTAATGGAGATGAGGTAAGATCCATATTTGAGGTTGCTACTATGTTTAGTGTCATAAAGAAAGGATTTTAATGTCACAGAAGTTGGGATGACAGTCCAGGCAAAAGAATGGGGTTTAAGAATGCTGGAAGGCGACCCCATCTGGAGGGACATGGCCTGTGAAGTGTCCGAGTATCAGTGATGAGCACACCTTATCAAGTCTGCACTCAGAACGCACACTTTCACGGCACTGGGGCTCACCCTCTGGGTTCCTCATTCTGGATGCTCCTCCCTTTAACAGAGATGTCTTCATTTCTCTTGCTCACCATGTCCTGTCTCCGCTTCTATATTGCTTGTAGGTCTCTGAACCCTTGTTCTGGAAATCTCTGTGAACCTACTTCCACATTTTCCAAATCCTTTCCATGTTCATATAAATATATGTGGGTATTTGAGAACCATCTTTTATAAATAAGCCTATTAATTTTTTCCAAAGTGGGCAACTCACTAAGTCTTAAATCTCAATGTTTTTTTGTCTTAAATAATTCTTTATTACTGGTGTTCCATGGCATATTAGTATCTCTATAATTATTTAAACTATGCTCTTATACATAGACATGCCTTTTGTTTTGGCTTTAGTTATTACAGACTGGATGCCAACAAAACCCACAAGTCAAAGCACAGGGCTTTTTTCTGGGTTCTGCTCCATGCCATCTGCTCAGTACATCCCCTACCACTCCATAGGGCAGAATTCTTGACCTGCAGGGCAAGGACTGGGGGGTGTGCTCAGGAAACTCACTTTAGGTCACTTCTGTTCACTGTATAAGCCTGTTTCTTCGGATCTAAATCCTGGGGACCTTCTGGTCTCCCTGCTGCCCAGAAATCCATCTCTACCAGTATGTCTGGGGTAGAAATCCTAGGAAACTGTCTGGGTGCTGAACTGACGGTTGATGCTGTGGAGAAAGAGAACTGCCTTGGGCTTGTGAGAGCTCAAGGAACAATGCCGTTGGGAACACTAAGAACCCAGCTGTGGTGACAGCTGCCACTGTCCCGGGAGCCTGGCTCTAATGCTGGGACCTCTGTGCTTTCCACAGCAACTGTGATCGATCCCCTCACCATGTATAGGACATAGGATTTGCCACCATAGCTGTAATGGTCGCTAAGGAAGCTTTGCTCAGCCAGAAATATTTCAGATGAATACAGCCACCAAATCTACTTATAGTTTAAAATAAAGTCTTACAAAACATTCTACATAAAAACTGTTCTATTCAACACTGAGGACGAGGCATCTGGCGGAGCAGTGGGCTGGGCGAGCGCTCTCAGGCCTGCAGGCAACCTCATTAGGATCCCCCCTGCACACCGGGGAGTCGCCCCCTGCACACCAGGGAGTCACCCCCTGCACACCGGGGAGTTGCCGCATGGCATCCCCGCTTCCCCTGCTTTCACGGAGCAGGCCTTGCCAATGACACACATACACATGAACCTGAAATTTATTTTTTCTTGAAGAGATGTGAATACGTCTAGTGTTTGTCAAAGTGCTGAGTCTCTTAGAGAGATAGCGGCTCTCTCTCCCTGAACGAGCACCTGGAGAGATCCTTCCTAAGTCACCCAGAATCGCTGCTGACCACGGCGTTCCGTTCCGTTCCCTTTCAGTTCTTCGGCCTGAGGTATGGCCAGAAGAGACAGAGGGTGTTCCCTGCAGACCTGCAGAGTTCGCTCACGTGAAACATTCACTTCCTGGATGTTCCACTTCCACAGTTTCAAAGAATGGTGGAAGAGCTGGAAGCAAAAGCAAGAGAAGACTCCAGTGGGTCCAGGCTCCTGCTGTAGATTCTCTTCTGTGAGCACAGCAGCGGCGTCTGAGTATCGGCGTCACGGCGAGGCTGACGCTTCAGCTGCTGGAACTTGCACTGTGTCCAGCCATATATGCCACAGTTGAGCAGACCCTGGGATGCTGCCGTGAGAGCCTGGAGGAGATGAAGAGTGTTGGAGTCCAACCTTCAGGCTTGTTGAGGTCCAGGAACAGGTTCCTTGGCCCTTATTTATAAAGCACGGCTACACATCTAGTGTGTGTGTGTATGTGTATGTGTGTGTGTGTGTGTGTGTGTGTGTGTATGTGTATGTGTGTGTGTGTGTGTGTGTATGTGACAAAGTCCCAACCCTATTTTCAGTGTCATCATTCGAGCTACTAAACTATAGACAAGCTCATCTAAACTTTTCACATTGGGGCTGGAGAGATGGCTCAGCGGTTAAGAGCACTGACTCTTCTTCCAGAGGTTCTGAGTTCAATTCCCAGCAACCACATGGTGGCTCACAACCATCTGTAATGAGATTTGGTGCCCTCTTCTGTATAAATAAATAAATAAATAAATAATAAATAATAAATAATAAATAAATAAAATAAATAAACAAACAAACAAACAAATAAAAATAAACTCTTCGTATTGTATCTTGCTGTGGACAGCTGAAGGCTAGTTACATTGTCTGGTACATACATGAGGACAATAAAATGTTGACTGACTTCTCACAGAACACTGTTCTCCATCAGCATAGTTAGTCTAAAGTTTCCTTCTGATAATGGAGGAAAGAAGAGAAGCATTCCTTTACTGCTCACCATTCATTATGAATAGTTAATTTGTACCCTCTGATTCACTCCGGATAGGAGAGGATCATCACCACCAGTGCCTCACCAGAACCTACCCCGGGAGATCTTATTCTACTGCCCGTATCGTCAACATATCAAAAAGAAGTTCCCCAGAGATCCATGTGCTCCAGACTATACCCAGAAACACTCAGACTAGCTTGCCTTTGAGGAAATGGTTATATTCCTCCTAAGTCAGCAGAGACACTAGATGTTCTCTTTTGCAGTGTACAGATGAACAGAAAAACTGTGTGTTCTCTAAATGGCAGTGTAAGAGAAGAAGGCACAAGAGAGAGATTCCAGCTTTGGAAGGTGTTACCTGGAGCACAGAGAGGGCCATGTGCAGGGAGGTGTCCTGTGGCTTGGTCAGCTTGATGATCAGCAGTGTGACAGCTGCAGACACACAATGTGTGAACTGTGTTAGCTCTCAGTGCACATGCGCGAGCATCCCATGAACAGAAGCTACAGGTACCTGGAGATCAGCACTGACATTAAACAGTTATGTAAATCCCTGAGCCTTTGGCCTTCAGTTCTGGTCCTTACTGATTAAAACTTGCAGATTAATGCCAGGTGGAGAGGTGCATGTCTTTAATCTCAGCCTTTGAGGCAGAGGCTGTAGGTGGACCTCTGCGAGTTTAAGGCCAGCGAGGTCTACATAATGAGATCTTGTCTCAGAAAATAAAGCAGTAAGTAAATAAATAAAACGTACAAGCTGGGAAGGGATAAGCAGTCGTGATTTGGGTGAGATCATTTTGTTTGATGATCCCCATGGCTACCTTCTTCACCCCCCAACTGTTTACTACGATACCAACCTGGGCCCCAGCAGCACACAAAGGCCACTGGGAAGAAGCGTACTCGTTGACCCACAGTGTAAATCACTGCCCACTGATCACTCTCCAGAACGCCTGTCGACTTCACAAACTTCTTATACAATGTCTGGGCATGGATGAGTAGGACCTAAAGATGATTGTCATTGTGAATAATCGGCCTATGGCTTAGTCAGATTTTCCAGCATTTTAGAGGGTACACTCTATAAGGAGCTCATGTCAGGAAAAACCACTACCCTCCTTTACTGTAAGAGCAGACTTTGGAGAATTACTCATTGGGAATTTTCATGTAGACCAACAGTTACGGACCAGACTTTCAGTTATTATGTCTACTCTGTGAACGTCAGCTTTCCCCAACCTCAAACAAATCAGAATATATGGGAAGGTGTGTTGTTTTCTTATAGAGGTGGAAATCAAACCCACAGACTTGTACATGATAGGCAAGCATTGTACTAATGACCTATATTCCTACCCAGGAAGTTCAAGTGAGTTCTAACTAGCTAGCCCATCGACCATGTTTTATGCTTAATACTCTAAAGTTCATCAGTACAAAGTCTGAGATTAAATTTTCAACTCTGAGCAAACAGGAGTTTTAGAAAATCTCTTCTCAGCCAACCAATGGTGGTGCAAGCCTTTAATCCCAGAACTTGGAGGCAGAGACAGGAAGATCTCTGTGAGTTTGAGGCCAGCCTGGTCTACATAGTGAGGACAGCCAGGACAGCCAGGGTTAAAGAAACCATCCCCGGGGTGTGGGGGGAGGAGAACATGCTTTCATTATTGGGGAAATTAAATCAAAGCACGGGTCCTATGTCACAGAATGTCCCTTATATAAAGGATCCATCTGCATCATATGATCTTTCTACTCTGGGTCCTCGTGGGAATCAAAGAAACAAATTAATTCTACCGTGAATGTGATTGTCCCCTAACTAACACAGGTTTGTTTTTCTGTTCATAATTTGATTTTGGGAAGTCCAAAGAACAAAGACAGTGATTACACTGTCAACATCTCCTAGTCACTTTCTTTACATTTGTGTGTGTGTGTGTGTGTGTGTGTGTGTGTGTGTGTGTGTGTGTGAGAAATGATCTCATATACAGTCCAGGAAATCTGATCTCCTGTCTCAACGTCCCATGCTCTCATGCACTCTAGGGAAGTGTTCCACCAACTAAACTACACCCTCACAGCCATGGCCACTTCCCTGGTGCTGGGAGCATGGGAAATGCCTGTTGCGTTGTGCCAGTCTTGGAGCACTGCCTATCTTTCCCAGTCCTTCCTTTCCACAGTAACAGACAGGTTGCACCATACCGTGATGAGGAGGAGGCTGAAGAAAAAGCTGGCCAGGAAAACAGTGACACCATAAAAATAGAGGGTGCTGCAGACGGATGTGTTGGTGGAAGGGAGGGGCTCAATCGTGGCTGGCGGTGGTGAGTACATTAGGATGCACCTGGGGAAGAGAACCCACGCACAGGATGATGCTACGAGGACCAGGCGGGCGAAACAAAAGGAAACGGAGTGTCTTAGTCAGGGTCTCTATTGCTGTCATGGACACCATGGCCACAGGCAAGCCGGGAAGCAAAGGGTTTATTTGGCTTACTCTTCACATCGTAGTCCATCATTGAAGGAACTCAGGGCAGGAACCTGGAGGCAGGAGCTGATTTAGAGGCTGTGGAGGGGTGCTGCTCACTGGCTTGCTCCCCCTGGCTTGCTCAGCCTGCTTTCTTACAGAACCCAGGACCGCCAGCCCAGGGAGGGCCCCACCCACCATGGACTGGTTCCCCCGCCCCCAGCATCAATCCCTAATGAAGAAAATGTTCTACAGGCTTGCCTGCACCGATCGTACGGAGGCACTTTCTTCATTAAGGACCCCTCCAGTCTTCAGGTTGACAGGAGACTACCCAGCACAGTGAGTAACTGTGCTCATCATTTTGGGGCTCTTGCCTGTAACTATACCATTCCGTCCCCTCACACAGATGGGATATCTTGAAGTCACTCTATACTGTCTCTCTCCTTGCGTATCTTCAGCCTGACTACATCATATTATGTCTAGAACCCATTTCCAAAACAAGCATTTTTTTTTTTTTTTTAGACAGGATCTGATATAGCCCAGGGTGGCCTCAAACTACTAAGTAGTTCAGGATGACCTTAAAACTCTGACCCCCCATCTCCATTTCCTGTGTGCTGAGGTCACAGGTGTACACCACACAGACACACACACACACACACACACACACACACACACACACACACACACACTGTATGTGGTGCTGGGGATCCAAACCAAGACTTTGTGTAATCCTGGCCAACATTCTACTGCCTGAGCTACATCCATAAGCAAAACATGCTGTTATGGCTGAAGAAGCCCCTTTTTAAGCTAGGCATCCATTTTGGTACCCACCAGCTCTTTGTCACTGACTCCAGTCCCTGGAAGGTAAGTCCCCAGTATAGGAAGGAACAAAATTGAAGACATTTTGAATAAAAGTTCCATCTTGAAAAGCAGGGTGAAATAAAGTTTAGGTTCCCAAGACCTCTGAGACTTCCTGAGTAACTGGCATCCTGGTTGGCAAGGTGAGACGTGAATGGGGGTAAGCTGCCCAGCCACACTTGAGTGGACCAGCCACTGAGGACAAGGTAAGTGTACCACAGGACAGTGTTCCTAGGAAAGTCCCTAATCTTTGGATCCTGGTTGGTGGAAATGTAACTGGGCACCTATGTCTGTGGTTTTTCTGCTTAAATATTTGCTGAAATGAATGCTCGGGGATGCAGTCAGTTCCCGGGTCTGTACTGTTGGAGCTTGCTTTGCATGGATTGTTTGGGGTCTTCTTGGACCCTACAACACCAGTACCCCGACTCAGTAACAACCACCTAAAAATGTACAGCTCTAACTGCTTTTTTCTTCTTCTCTAACTTACTTATGCAGACACCCGAAGATTGTTTTGAGGTGCCTTAACCACTTAACTTGGCAGAACAGATCAGTTTTTATTTGCTTACATAGACATTGAAGGTCTTCATGTGGTTTTCCCCTTTAATAATCCTGCCCCAAAGCCCTCCTGCATGGCAATCTCAAATTTGGTTCAGACTGTTCATCCTGCTAGCAGTTAAACAATAAATATTTTATTTATAATTAGATTGAATCTATGGTCTTTTCCCAGGGGTCACAAACACCATAATAAAACATCTTGGCTAGAAGGTATATAGAATTTTCCCCCTTTTTACTCTGTTATAGAAAAGAACAAATAAAAACCAGAGTTAGTCCTTCCTTACCTGTGGCTCTGGCTAAAGTTGTGGAAACATTCATTGACATTGCCCAGACAGAATACAGGTGTCATCAACAGCAGAGGTATCAGGCTGGAAGGAGAAGATTTATTGTGCAATTATCTAGAAAGTTTCATGCCCTTCCCCCATTTGTAAAATAGTCTCCTCCCTCCAACTATATTACCCCACCAACTCCCCCACACCTGACACAGATGAAGAAAAACATGTCAAATACCAAAGCTATCCTCATTTTCTATTTCCTGGAGAACTGCAGTGTGATGTGGATTTTATATCTAAGTCCATCTCCTAACAGTTTCTTGAGAATCTTTGGAATTATAATCAGGTGAAAATCTGCTGGACAGTGGCGCACGCCTTTAATCCCAGCACTTGGGAGGCAGAGGCAGGCGGATCTCGGTGAGTCTGAGGACAGCCTGGTCTACAAAGTGAGTTCTAGGACAGCCAGGGAGGGAAAGAGCGAGGGAGAGGGAGTTAGGGGTATCTAAGGGATGGCAAGGTGGCTAGGGAGTTGGCTCACTCAGTAAAGTGTTTGCTATGCAAGCCTGAGAATCTGAATTCGATCCCCACTACTCATGAAAACTCAGAGAATGGTAGTGCATCTGGACCCTGGGGCTAGGGCTGGGGCAGGGACAGATGGATCCCCAGAGCTCACTGGCTGGCTAGCTTAGCCAGCTGGTGAACTCCAGGTTCAGTGAGAGATGCTATCTCAAAAAAGAAGTTGCAAGGTGATAGAAAAAGACACACAACACCTGCTTCCACGAGCACACACTCCTCACATGCACGTGTGGTTGGCATGCAAACACACACACAATCTAAGTAGGAGAAAAGAAAACAAATCAGAATCCAAGGCTGGGTTCAGGGACGCAGGCCTATCATCTCAGCATTTAGGAAGCTGAGGCAGAGGGATCTTGATTTCGAGGCCAGTCTGAGCTACATAGCAAGACTTTATGTTAAATAAGTAAAACAAAATTTACATGAAAAAAATATATGTGAAAGAAAACTATGGCTGGGTAGCGGTGGCACACACCTTTAATCCCAGCACTCAGGAGGCAGAGCCAGGCGGATCTCTGAGTTCGAGGCTAGCCTGGTCTACAGAGCGAGATCCAGGACAGGCGCCAAAACTACACAAAGAAACCCTGTCTCGAAAAACAAAACAAAACAAAACAAAAGCCAAAAGAAAAGAAAAGAAAAAAAGAAAGAAAGAAAACAAAACAAAACTATGGAGCTGCCAGGCAGTGGTGGTGCACAAATCTTTAATCCCAGCACTCAAGAGGCAGAGCCAGGTGGATCTCTGTGAGTTCGAGGCCAGCCTGGGCTACAGATTGAATTCCAGGACAGCCAGAGCTACAAAGAGAAACCCTGTCTAGAAAAAAAAGGCAAACAAAAACAAAAACAAATGCAAAAACCCAAACAAACAAACAAACAAAAAGGAAACTACGGAGCAGCTCTCGTGGTCTCCTTCACACTCAATGGCCAGATGAATTCTTGTCTTCACCTTTCCCATGTGCTTTCTCTTTAAACAGACAGCTGTTTGTCCACTTAAATACCGCCATTGCCCTACAAGGGGTTTGGGAGCAAAAATTATAAAGTCTAAAACCAATGGGACTACTTCTTTGTGTGAACTCTAGATTCTTCTTGGACTAGGATTCTCAGACAATGTTATAAGGTGGCCTGAGCTTGAGAGGTCAAGTGTCTGCCACATGAGCTGGAGGACTGGAGTCAGGTACAGTGGGATGCCCAGAAGCCACATAAAAAGCTGAGAGCTCTTGAGGTCATCCTGCTGTCCCACACACTGGAGACAGAGATGTGAGTCCCCAGGGTAATGCAGCTGGTCCGGCTAGCAGGTGTGCTGAGCTCTGGGTTCAGTGCGAGGCTGCCTTGATGTATAAGAGAGAGCGGTGAGGAAAGAGGCTGACATCAACCTCTGGCCTTCAGATGCACGCACAGATGCATGCACCCCAACACGGTCACAAAGAACTGGTGTAACAGAGTCGGAGTTAAACCCAGCTCTCTGACATCAAACTGCTTCCTACCATCTCCCGCTGTGAAGCCCCAGGAGTGATGGGAAATGAAGAGAAGAGGCCATTGTTCCTTGGCCACCTTACCAGGAAGACAAAAATCTTACCTTGACAAAATGAACACCACGTGACCACATTGGTGACTACGATCTATCACCTGTGAAAAGAATAGACATATGTGAAAAATGTTCGGACCAGCGTCAAACTCTCCAGTAAACACACACACACACACACACACACACACACACACACACACACACATACACATGTCCAGCAGCCACATTGCTTTGTCAGCCATATTGTTTATGGAATCCATCAGTCAGTTCCCTTGGTGCTGGAGATGACAGTGTTTTATCTATATTACTATGCTAAAAGGAAACAATAAATAAAAAAAAACCAGAAGACTACAGGAAGTAATTTAATCTAAGGCTTGAGTGCTGAAACAAATTCTTTTAGGAATAAAGGCATATATGAAATCAAAGAGTGTTTTATTCTTTTAGACCCAGAAAGGTATGGGTGAATGAAGCTATGCACAAGTTGACCAGCACAAAGTATTAATAGGCTCATGCTGACACGACAGAGTCAGAGAAGCCTTTGAATACAAGATCATTGCATTCCAGAGGACGGAGCGTTTAGAATCTGGAGACCTAGAAGATGGTTCAATTGATGAAGTGGTCACTGAGCAAGCACAGGGACCTAAGTTCAGATCCCTAGCGAGAAACCAGGCAGAGCACCTCTCGTCAGTAACCTTAGCACTGTGGAAGAGGCAAGGAAAGATACAGATCCTGGAGGCATCACAGGCCAATCAGACTAGCACAAAGAGCAAAATCCAGCTTCAGTGAGAAATAATGTCTCAAAAACAAAAAACACAACAACAAAAAAAGGTGGACTGCGCCGGGCAGTGGTGGCACACACCTTTAATCCCGGTACTCTGGAGTCAGAGGTAGGCAGATCTCTATGAGTTCAAGGCCAGCCTGATCTACAGAGCGAGTTCCAGGACAGCCAGGACTGTTACATAGAGAAAAACCAAGGGGGAAAAAAAAGGTGGAGAGCAGAAGAGGAAAGCAGTTGGTGTTGATGACCAATTTCTACTTGCTGACGCACAGGCGCACACACTGCACATACACCACACACACAGTATGGAGCATTACATAGGGCGATGGAATATGTACTTATCACAGAAAAGTCTTGGGTTCAAATCCACAGCACTCCCAGACAGACAGACAGAGGAACACTCCCCACGCGCATCCGAGACTGAACATTTACAGCAGCCTGGCGGCTATGAACTTGGTATTCTGAAGGAAAGGTCATGGCCTATGGGTTTGCCTTTCACACTGGCCAGCACGGCCCCGCTCAGCCCCAGGCTCTGGGTGAAGCCCTGAACAAAGCCACAGGCCCTTCCTAACGGGCAGAAGACACCGATGCCCGTGGAGCGCCCAGAGTGGGCAAGATCAAAAGGCAGCAGAGTGGAATTCCCGTTGTACACAGCAGCTACTCCCCGCACAGAGCCACTTACACGAATATAAAATGAAAGTGTCAGCCCCTGCTTAAATTAGTCCATTTCCATAAGTCTATACCTTGCCACGTGGCTGGTGGCCCACCGGCATCTTCACATGCTGCTGGTCATGGCGGCATCTGGCAGTCAGTCCTTCTGCCTTCCTGTCCTTTTATTTCTCCTCCCTATTAGTCCCGCCTATCCTTCCTGCCTAGCCACAGCCGATCAGGTTTTATTTATTGATCAATCAGAACAACTTGACATACAGACCATCCCCCAGCACAGCCAAGTGCAGACCATCTCAGACACCTGCACTCAGGCCCATGGTCCTAATCATCCTCTATGCGGACCTGCTGGGTAACGCTACAAAGAACCCAAGAAGGGCTCCCACAGGACATACAGAACATCCCACAGCAGACAAAAGACACAGAGATCAAGAGGTAGAGAATTCGAATCTGACTCGCTCTTGTTTGAATGGCTGCAGAGGGGAATGTTTTTACTTCTGTCCTCAATGCAACACTGATGCTTCACTGAAGACTCTGAGCTAATCCCTAATGCCTTTAATCCACACACGCCTCCACTTACTCACACAACAAATAGTGAGCTATTTCACGTGTTCACTCTCCTTTGTTTAAGAAGTAATCTACAGAGCCGGGCAGTGGTGGCTCACACCTTTAATCCCAGCACTCGGGAGGCAGAGACAGGCGGATCTCTGTGAGTTCGAGGCCACCCTGGGCTACCAAGTGAGATCCAGGAAAGGTGCAAAGCCACACAGAGAAACCCTGTCTCGAAAAACCAAAAAAAAAAAAAAAAAAAAAAAAAAGGTAATCTACAGGCTCTATGAACAGGGTAGAGTAACTTTCTAGAGCGTTTATCATGCTCTTAACAAAAGTTTACTTTAAAAGAAATCAAATAATGACTATTGCAGAAGTAAGATTAGAATATTTAGTAATGTGTATAAGATTAAAATGGGCCTGTGTTTTGTAGCTCAGTTGGTGGAGTGTTTCCTAATGTTCTAGAGATCCTGGGTCCAATCTCAGCACCACATAAACTGGGTGTAGTGGTCCACACCTAGAATCCCAGCACTTGGGAAATAGAGATAAGAAGATAAGAAGTTCAAGGTCATCCTTGACTATGTAGTGAATCTGGGGACAGGCTGGGCTACATGGGACCCTCTCCCAAAAACAAATAAATAACAATAACAACAAAAAGATTAAATCAGATGTGGTGGTGCATGCTTTTAATCCCAGCACTTGGGAGGCAGAGGCAGGCGGATCTCTGTGAGTTCCAGTTTGAGGCCAGTCTGGTCTACATGTGAGTTCCAGGACAGCCAAGGCTACACAGAGAAACTCTGTCTCAATAAACAAACAAACAAACAAACACACATACATACATGATAAACAAATAAATTAAATTAAAAAAAGAAATATATAAGTTGGGTGGCGGCGGCGGCGGCGATGACACACATCTTTAATCCCAGCACTCAGGAAGCAGAGGCAAGTGGATCTTTGAGTTTGAGGCCAGCCTGGTCTACATTGAGTTCCAGGACAGCCAGGACTACACAGAAAAACCCTGTCTCGAAAAACAAAACACCAACCAACCAACCAAACAAACAAACCTTGTATGTGTCGAGGGAGGAGAGAAGTGGTGTCAGCAGATGGAAACTGGGGACATTCCTTCATCAGCTTCCGCACACTCACTCGTCAGTGCTGAGCGCTGGCACGGCTTACTGAGAACTCGGGGAGACCCTTCTCTGCTTACCTGTGCAGCTGTGCCCTGTCCACTCTGGCTGTGCTTCATCCTCAGCTCCGTGTGCAGATGCCAGGTGTAACTGATGGTGTGGAGGAGGGAGGCAAGGTACAGTATCTAGGTGAGAGTCGAAACAGCCCATCGTAAATGTTCCGTTCCCACGTCCTTAAATGTATTCCAAACCATTCAGCTTCATCTCACCCTTTGGACTGTTCGGAACCACAGATATCCACCTCCTCTCATCTAACTGTTCCACTTTTCTGAGTCTCTGTCAATCTATCATCATCATCATCATTATTACTGTGTGTGTAGCACAGCACACATGTGTCAGAGGCCAGCTGTGGAGTGGGTTCTCTCCCTCCACCTCACCTGGGTTCTAGGGACGGAACTCAGTCCCCAGGTTCGTGTGGAAAGAGCTTTCACCTTCTGAACCATCTCATGGGCTCTGTGTTCAACTTTCAATAATGGTTGATATATTAATCCATTTTCATACTATAACAAAATATTGGAGGCAGACTACTTTCGAGGAAAAGGGTTTTGGCTCATAGTTCTGGAGGTACAAGATTTAGAGTCTCATCGGGTAATACTGTCTTGATGTCAGAATCCTGGAATGGTGTCGATTATCTCAGCAGAAGATGAAGAACATGTTTGTTAACTGTCTCTCTTCATAAAGCCACCAGGACTAACTCATGTGCTTCTAATAACCTCACAGTTCTCATCATCCCCTGAAGACTCCACCCCCCACTAAACAGCAGAGCAAGTCTCCAACCTGCCAATGCTATACATATGAATCGTGTACAAGTTAGTGTCTATGTGTGTGTACACACTTATCTGCAAGATTTGGGTAATTTAAGTACTACACAAATTTGATGTGGACAAAAACCCCCATAGAAATAGCCTATTGTATTTGAACTAAACCTTTCATTCAAAACTTAGGCTACACAGGCAAGATAACTTTAAAAACAAAAATGGGAAAAGCCCAGGACCAGATGGTTTCAGTGCAGAATTCTACCAGACCTTCAAAGAAGAATACCAGTACTCTTCAAACTGTTCCACACAATAGAAACAGAAGGAACACTACCAAACTCTTTTTATGAGGCTACAATTACCCTGATACCCAAACCACACAAAGATGCAACAAAGAAAGAGAACTACAGACCAATCTCCCTCATGAACATTGATGCAAAAAAACTCAACAAAATATTGGCAAACCAAATCCAAGAATACATCAAAACAATTATCCATCACGACCAAGTAGGATTCATCCCAGGGATGCAAGGATGGTTCAACGTACGAAAATCAGTCAATGTAATACGCCATATAAACTGAAAGAAAAAAACCACATGATCATCTCATTAGATGCTGAAAAAGTCTTTGACAAAATCCAACACCCCATCATGATAAAGGTCTTAGAAAGATCAGGAATACAAGGAACATTCCTAAACATAATAAAGGCAATTTACAGCAAGCCAACAGCCAACATCAAATTAAATGGAGAGAAACTCAAAGTGATACCACTAAAATCAGGAACAAGACAAGGCT